ATACTCCCTTCACCTTCAGTCATGAATATTTGGCACTTGGGACAAGGTTCAATCAAACTACTGAAACTTTGATCGGATATAGCATTTGAAAACATAAAAGCATGGGTGCGTTCTAAAATTAGTTCCATTAAATTCATTGGTATATTCTAATTCCAGTGAAAAAATATTTGTCAAAATCGGCTCTTGAAAAATCATGGAAAAATAATGCGACCAGAGGGAGCAGATGATTCAGTTCTCTTAGGCCCTCCTTTGGAATGTGGAATTGTTTTCATATTTCCTGTTTTTTTTTTTCTATGGAAATAAACCGATTCATGTAAAAATTTCATTACATGATTTCTATGAAAAACTTGCGTTCTAAAGGGTGTTATTCTGAGAACGACTTGTCATCATCTCAAGAATCTGAATTCTATTTCTTATGCACCCTGTTCGCTTACGCTAAAATTTAGCTTATACTGATACTTATGCTAAAATATTGTGAGAGAAAAACATTGTTTTATTACTGAAAAGTAGCTTAAGCGAACAGGACGACGGCCTTTTGAAAGAAACTAGTACAGTACCAAAAAGCATGAATAGGTAACAGAGCAGCAAGTCACTGACCATGAGGAGTCGCACTGCCAATGGCATCACTAGCAGTAGCACAAAAGGAACACGACAGATAATGATCAATTCATTCGGTTAGTTGTGTGTTTATATTTACTTTAGAGTTAAATGTACTAGAGATCCATTAACTTGTGATGATGTTTCAGTTAGGTCCATCAATTTATAAAGTGTTTTTTTTTTCATAAACTTTGTACATCGTATCACTTAGGTCTATACCTCTCTACGTTGGCTTCTCGTGCTGACGTGGCACGATGACTAGGCTGAAAACAGCCTAGCCGCAGCCCCGCGGGCATGCGAGCAGATGCCGATGCCGTCACCGTGGGTGCGCGAGCAGGCGCGTGGACGAGCCGCCACTGCGGGCGTGCGAGGAGGTGTCGTCGCCGCCGCTGTGGGCGCGGGCGAGCTGCTGCCGCGGCGACACAGGAACGCGTTCGCGGGGGAGTTCCCGGCCGCGGCGGTGTTCCAGCTCCAGCGGCTGGAGTCGCTCGACGTCAACCACAACTTCTTCAACGACACGTTCCCCGACGGCGTCGCGGCGCTCGGCGGCGCGCTCGCTGCGTTTCGATGCCTCTGAAAGAATCGCCGCCGCCCGCCGCGCGCTGCCTCGGCGAAGCTGCGTCGGCTCCAGTCAGCTCAACCTCGGCGGCAGCTTCTTCAACGGAGCGTCTGCCGAGATCAGGCAGCTCCGCTCGCTGCGGTTCCTGCACCTCGCCGGAACGCAGCGCCGACCAGCGGCTCCTTCGAGCTCGGGCGCCTCGCGTCATTGGAGCGGTGGAGATCGGATACAATGCCTACGACGACGGGCGTTCGCGGAGCTCGTCAAACTGACGGAGTCGTTCTCGAGCTCCGCCGGCGGATCTCGAGGAGGAGAAGGAGGGCGGGCTGCGGAGTTCACCGGAGAGGGAGGGGGTGGGGTTCGCTTGGCCATGCTCGCCGGCCGGGCAAGGGAAGCCCGCCGCTGGGGAGCCGGAGAGGGTGAAGGCGGCGGCGCCTCGAGCTCTCGTCGGAGGAAGCCTCCTAGAGAGCGCAGCTTCGCGCCCAATGATGGTGGCCACACCTGGTAGCCTCGGGCACCAGAGGCGCCGTGAGCTCCGGCGGCGCGGCTCGCCTTCCCTCCGCTCCACGACTTGAGCCCATCGCTCTCCCTGTTCCAAAGATGGATGCCAAAGCTCTCGCTTTGATGTTCTCCACCTTGGCCTTCACCCACCTCTTGTCTTTCCTATCCTTGGGTGCAACGGCAGTCCGTAATCTTACTCCAAGTGCACGGGGTAGAAGGCCCGTGGCGGCAAAGACCGTGAAGGCGAGATCGGGAATCTCGTGGCGTAGCCTCGCCGCCACCCAGACACAAGGTACGGCCATTGTGGCCCCACCGCGCCCCGTCGAACGCGGTGGCGAACTCGGCGATGAACTTCGTGCGGCAAAGATGGGCACGCTCGTCGAACACCATCACGGCGTTGTTCGATCGTCAGGTGGCGTCGCCCACGGCCTGCGCTCCAATGGCGTTGCGGAGGTCGGAGAGCGGCTCGAGGACGACGACGCCGGCGTCGAGGTAGATGCCGCCCGATCAGAGAGCAGCCGCGAGCGGAGGAAGGTTGGAGAGGTTTCACTGGCGGGACGCTCCGAGGTCGACGCCGCCGCCGGGGGCCGCCGCGAAGCGCTCCGGCAGCGCGCGCGGTAGCTTCCCGGTGGCTACGCTTGCCTCGTGCCCCTCGTGACCACGGCAGCTTTCGGCCGAAGCGGTGGCTACACCGGTAACCGCGGGCACCGGTCGCGCTCGCGAAGCTCCGGCGATCGGCTCGCCTTCCCCTCTCATCCACGACTTGGCGCGACCGCGTCTCCGGCAGCTCTCCCGGCGCGCTCACGATCTGCGCCTCTCGGACGCGCCTCGAGCTCTCGTCGGAGGAAGCTTCGCCGTCACCGCACGCTGGCTGGTGCAATGGCGCGAGGCGGCACCGGCCTACGGGCGGCGGCGTAGCGCAGAGGCGGCGACGACGCACGCGCCTAACGTCGTCGTCGGGCCGTGGCGGATGACCGCGTTCCAGAGGCTGGACTTCACCGCCCGCGATGTGATGGACACGGCGGTGTGGGCGGCTGACCAGCAGCAGACCGGCGGTGCGGGTCCCGAGCACGCCGCCGCGCTAGCCTCGCTCGGCGCCGTCATGGTGCGGGTCCCGAGCGCGCCGCCACGCTAGCCTCGCCCGAATAAACTTGGCTTTCACAGCGCTACCACGGGCTGCGGGTGGCCTTTTTTTCGGTCAGTCATAATGCCACATCAGCATGAGAAGCCAACGTAGAGAGGTATTGACCTAAGTGATATGGTATACAAAGTTTATGATCTAAAAAGCCACTTTAGAAGTTGATGGACCCAACTGAAACCTCATGACACGTTAATGGACCTCTGATACATTTAACTCTTTACTTTACTTACCTCTGGCAAATAAATTGGTGCAATCACATCACATCTATATAAATTTGCCCACATGCTCTCTGGATTCGACAGCATCGTGCAACAGTGGCGGAGGCACAGGGTATGCCAGGTATGCACTGGCATACCCTGCGGCACCGATGAATATACTATTATATACTGTATACGTATTTGCATTTGTATTTATGTAAAAGAAAAAAGAAAAAAAAACTTACCTGGAATGCATCACGCCACCACGAAAGGCCCACTTGAGACACCCCACGCGACCCACGCAGCAAAGAAGGCGTTCACATTGACCACGCCCGCAACGCAGTTAGGCGTAACTTTTCCCTAATCTAATCTCGATAGGAGGCGACGCCGATGGACGGGCGGAGCGAGAGACGCGGTCACGGCGCCGGCGCCGCCGGACACCCTGACGACAGAGTCACAGAGACGCGGTGAGTACGACTACGCCACACTTTCCCAGTTCCCCTGATCTAATCTCTTGTGTTATTTGCTAACATTACAATAATAGATTGTTTCATTATTTAGCATCGTGTTTTTCTAATATTCGTGCAGTTACGAAGAGAACCTCTGACCTCGTGTCCTGTTTGGCCTACGCTCTGCCCTACGGGCTACGGCGGCACTGGCCACCGGCGGCATCTAGGCGAATTTATGATCACAATTGTTTTGGTGAGATTCAATCTTTGTTCTTTGGCTTTAAAAAAAATCATGTGTACTTTAATTGCTAATTGCTTAGCGCTAAAATTATAGAATCATCTATTACGCGGCGAGGTGGAGGATTTTTCTCAACATCAGAGTCGATCTTGATTGATCTTTTGTTCAGTACTCATATCATGTGAGTGATCCATAATCGCATCCGAGAGTTCAATTGTGCAAGCACAATTTATTTAATTATTTGGCATTGTGTTCTTTGTAATATTTATGCAGTTATGAAGAGAAACGGGGACATTGCATCTCTTTTTCATAAGCATGCAGCAAAGAAGGCTACGGCAGCTGCTGCTACTTCTAATCCTGATCCGATTGAACCTGTGGTGGAAGAGCAGATTCATGAGAGAGTAGTTGAGGAAATCAGCAAGGAAAGCTCGTGCCCAAAAGCAAACCAATGATGACCACTTTAGAAGAGAAATATATATTGGTGTCATTGATCAACTAAGTCAAGAACTTGATAATCGGTTTGATGAGATTAATATGGAGTTGTTGCCTTCAGTCCTTCCAAGTCATTTGCTTCTTTTGATGCACAGAAGCTACGTAGACTAACTGAGTTCTACCCAAAAGAGTTCTCAAATAATAATTTGCTCAAACTTGAGTTGCAGCTAGATAATTATATTGATGACATGAGACATTATGATAGCTTCAAAGGTCTAGACAATATTGTTGATCTCTCAGTTAAGCTTGTTGAAACAAAGATGCACAAAGTGTACGATATGGTTTATGAGCTCCTCAAATTGGTATTGCTTCTACATGTGGCAACGGCAAGTGTTGAAAGGGTATTTTCTGCAATGGTTTTTTGATAACAAAGTTAAGAAATAAGATGGGAGATAGTCTTCTGGATGACTGTCTAGTCACTTTCATTGAGCGGGATATTTTCTTTGAAGTTGATGAAGATGATATAATCAATACATTTATATCCCTTTGAAAACGTCGAATAAAATAGTCACAAAATAGCATTGTAAGTCTCTGGTTCTCTTTTATGCCTTATTTCAATTATTGATATGACTTTTGAACTATTTATACTATACTTAGTGGATGGTTTGAACTTAATTCATGAATTTAAGCCTTATTGTGTTATTTAGTACATATATACCGAATTATGTTGTCAATTTTACAATTATTACCGAATTGCTGAAATGGATTTATCAAATTGTATATGATTTTTTTTTTGGTGGCATACCCTGTGACAAAATCATAGATCCGCCACTGTCGTGCAACACAGTGACAGACACACTACTCCGGTCGTTGGCCGTGGCCATCCATGGCTGTGCAACGAGCTGCGCTGCACGGGATGCTTCTTCTGGCGGCGGCGGCGAGCGGCGCCGCGGCGGCGAAGGTCCCGGCGGTGTACGTCTTCGGCGACTCCACTGCCGACGTGGGTAACAACGACTACCTGCCGTGGAGCATCCCCAGGGCCGACTTCCCTCACAACGGCGTGGACTTCCCCGGCGGCAGGCCCACCGGCAGGTTCAGCAACGGCCTCATCGGCGCGGACTTCCTGGGTAAGTCCTGATAACTGCAATGCGTGTGTAGACATCTCACAAACAATGCTGCAAAAGGACTTATAAGTTTACAGAAGCTGACAGAAAAAAAAAGTCATGATGATAGAGTACCTTATGTTCTTGTAGTATTGTTTTGACAAAACTTGCAGCCATTGCTATGGGGTTCAGCGGGAGCCCGCCACCTTACCTCTCTCTCATGGCGGCGACTGCTGCCAACAGCAGCAGAAGCAGCAGTGAGGTGACGAGGAACACGACGATGGCAGCTGCAGCAGCTTACATGAGCGGAGCCAACTTCGCTTCTGCAGGCTCTGGTCTTCTTGATTCCACTGTATGTCTATCTCTACTGTACATTTGTTTTCACCTTGCATCAAATTCTTTTGTCTTTTGGTTTGGGACATATAAATCTTGCTTCAATCTTGAACTACTTTGCAGCCAACGAACAACAACAAATCAGCATAAGCATCAGCATAAGCTAAATTTCAGCATAAACGAAGAGGGTTCTCAAGTAAGAATCATGCTCCAGTTTCTGACTAGACAAATCTCTCAATTAGCTTAGTTTTGCTGTCTAGGAAGCTTATTAGGCAATTTAATTCTTAAAACAGAAGGCGTTTTAGCAAATTTAGGCTTATTAGGCTGCCTTTATGGTACACTTCAAGTACTATGTATGTGTAATGTGTGTTCAATGCACACACTTTATATAATTTTAATTGTATCCGTATATCAAGTGATGAGTTACTACATAATGTTGAAAAAAGATCGTTCACAGAAGTTCAACCATTTATAACAACTTTTGTACTCAGCTCATAAATTCAGTGAAGCACGCTTGGGCCTGTCAAGACATTTTTTCCTTTTCAAATTAAATCACTAGTACAAAGTAACAACATGATTACTTCTTCGAAGAAAAACACTAACATCAAGGTCCAAATGGTCATTATGCCAGGGTTCTACAATCAGCATGACCCAGCAGATAGGGTACTTCTCAGACCTTAAAGACCAGATGTCAAACAGATTGAGTGCTGGCAAAGTGGCGGACTCGCTGTCAAAATCCATCTTCCTCATAAGCGCCGGGTCGAATGATGCATTTGACTTCTTCTCACAGAACAGATCACCAGACTCCACTGCAATTCAGCAATTCTCTGAAGCTATGATCTCCACGTATGATAGCCATGTCAAAGTAAGAACTCTGGCCTATACTCTTCAACACAGAGAAATCCATATGCTGTGGTGCCTAGCAAGCAACTCAGCCTTTGAGATATTTTCAACTCTGACTCGCTACTCAACTGACATGCTGACAAACCAGTCGATGCTTTATTATTCACTATAACTGTATGTTCGTTGTGCAGACATTATACCATTTGGGAGCGAGGAAATTCGCTGTGATCAACGTGCCACTGATTGGGTGCTGTCCATACCTGAGAAGTCAGAACCCAACAGGAGAATGTGTTGAGCGATTGAATCAGATAGCCAAGAGCCTGAATGATGGAATCAAGGACCTGTTCAGCAATCTCAGCTCAGAAATGCAGGGCATGAAGTATTCCATTGGCAGTGCTTATCAGCTTGTCTCTAGTCTGATTCAAAGCCCACATGCCGCTGGTAAGTTGCAACAACCGAGCAGGAGCATTCTAGATACGAAACCACGCATGCCAGTGATTAGCCGCCGAAACCACGCATGCCAGTGATTAGACGCCTCTTTCTCCGGTATATTTGCAGATTTGCTCACTTTCTGCCTGCAGGGTTGGAGGAAGTGAAGAGTGCATGCTACGGTGGTGGCAGGTTCAATGCTGAGATAGGGTGCACCCCCATCTCCAGCTGCTGCAGTGATCGCAGCAAATACCTCTTCTGGGACCTGCTGCACCCTACCCAAGCTACCTCCAAGTTTGCGGGACTTGCTTTCTACAATGGACCAGAACAGTTTGTCAGTCCCATCAGCATCAAGCAGCTAGTTGAGGCATAATACTCCAACATCAGTACAGGGATTAGCCCAAGACATCTTTGAGAGTCTCGTATACACTTTGTAATTTGCATTATTCTACAGCATGAGCTACCTTGCAATTCATCTGAAAATCTACACGAGGTTGGAAAAAAACTGCCCAAGTTTTCTGAAAAGTGTAAATACAAATGGTTGTTGGCTCGTTGCATCAGGCGATTGATCTGTGCCTTCCTCAGGCACTGGAAAGCTGGCCAGCCATTGCTTCACCCTGTCTCGCTTTGCCACAAGCCGCCCTTTGTTCCTTGTAGACAGCTGTAGGGGGCTCCCCATCCGGCTCAGTACCTCTTGTGCCAGTTCACGCACTTTAGGCTCACCTCGGACATCACTGTGTTTTCCAATGCCACACACCACTGACACCTCCAATGGCAACGTGCGACCCTTTACCGCATCCACCCATTGCAGAATCAGCACATAGGCTGAAACTGTACTGAATCCATGGAGATTCAGCTTCACCTCTGTTTCGGACCATTCCATCGCCTTGTCCAGCACCGATGAGGAGGCCAGGAGTTCTTGCACCAGCTCGACTTCTGCTGCCAGTGTAGATACAGACTTGAGCCTCTTGACCAACCCAGTCGTTGACAGTGGAAGTGAAGGACCAAGCTCTTGAACCACCGAAGCAAGTGAGGAACATGAGTTCAGCACAAAGTTGTAGCCCTTCGTGGTCGGTGCGATGCGCAATTTCCGCATCTTCTTCAACCATGTCAGCATCTTGGAATGATCATGGCAGGAGCTGTAGCATGAAAGCACAGTGTCCGCTGCGCCAATGCCGAAGCGGATACCGGCATCTGCCATGGACGCAATAACCCTCTCCATGTCGGCCAGCGAGCCAGACTTGCCGTAGCATTTCGCGACCGACCCAAACTGGAAGGCCTCAGGCTGGTACCCCAGAGACACCATCTCCCTAAGTGTTACCTCGGCCTCAGTGGGCAGACCCAGCAGGCACAAGGACTTTATCATTGCCATGTAGGTCTTGCGCCCAGAGAGCGGCATGGATCGTAGCTCAGCGTAAAAATCCATCGCCTTGTCCTTCAGTCCACGAGAGGAGAAAGCCGCCATGAGGTCGCAGTAGAAGAGAGCTACCTCATTGGTGGACTGGAGATGCTGCGAGATGGAGTCAGAGATGAGAGACCTTGATTCTCCGGTGCTTCCATTGGCTTCAAGCAAGGCCGCAACTGCAGCAGCATGGATAGAGCTCCATTTGAACCACCGGGCCTGTGTGACCGCCTCATAGAACTGCAACAACAATAGAAGTTACTAGTGGATAACGAATCAGGTGATGATTTTTTGTTTGTGCGCAAACCATTTTGGAATTTGAAATATAGTTTAACAAGCTAAGACATTTCCAAATGTCCTTGGCATGCACGTGCACAAGTATGAATGAAATGACAGTTCATCAGAAGAAGGCACTCAGAAACTAACACTACGGTCGCTCGAATTCAGAGCTAACAACTAGCGAAAGTTGAATCTATTGTTCACAGATTGTAATGACAGGTACAAGGACAAGGATAAAACTTCAAAAATGACGAAGCTTTCTTGGTACGGCTTGCCTCTTTGAGGTGAGAGGGGTTTAGTTGAGAGAGGGGGCGCACCGGGATGGCGAGGGGATCGGAGTCCATGAGGAGCCTAGAGAGCGCGGCGAGCGCGGCGCGCTCCGACTTGGTGCCGACGTAGCTGCGGATGACGCGCTCGGCCGCGCCCGCCGTCACCGTGCGCTCCAGCTCCGACATGAGCCGCCGCTCGCTCCGCCAGCTGGAGCCCCCGCCCGACGCGACCCGGCGCAGCGAGGCCGAAGCCACGGGGGAGAACCTCCGCCGCTGGGCTGCCGCCGGCGGCGCCAGTAGGGACGCCACCGCTGGCATCGCTGCTTGGGCTTGGCGGAGCCGCCTGTGCTGGTGCCTGATGGATGTGGATGAGGTGAGAGACGACACGATGTGCCCGCCTTTTTTATCCATACCATCGCCGCGCCGAGCTGTCAGCCTGTGACTGGCGAGCGGATAATTCCATCTGTGCGCTGCGGCGGCTCACTCGGTCACTCCCCACCAGAGACCACGCCTCGGTCGCCGGCCGCCGCGCCGCGCCGCGCACGCGACGATGCTGGTCCCGACCGCTTCCGGACCCTGCCTGTCCTCCCCGGCTCCGCCGACACCCACGTCCACAACGGCGCCTCCTCACCTCATCCGCCTCCCTCCCCTCACAATCCACCCCCGCGGGCGCCGGTGCCAGTGCCGTGCCAGGCCGCCGAGAGCGGGACCGGCGCCCACGCCTCCGCCTCCACCGGCGCCGTCGTCTCGGCCGGCGAGGGATCGCGTGATCGAGTTCGGCAAGCACAGGGGCCAGATGCTGGGCACGCTGTCGCCGTCGTACCTCCGGTGGGTCGCGGCCGAGCTCGACTACGGGGACACCGCGCCGTGGGCGGGCCTCGCGCGCGACGTCCTCGACGACCCCGTCTACGTCGACCGCGTCGAGTGGGAGCACGCGCACCGCTTCCTCCGCGGCGATGCTGACGGCTACGACTACGCTTTCGACGACGGCGGTGACGGGCCGCTCCAGGAGATGGCCGAGCGCTTCGGGTGGGACCTCTCCGACGAGGAGGGTGGGGCCGCCTCGACTTCCGCCTCCTCGGCACATCCTACGGCGGTCGCATCCCAAGGAAGGCGCCGGAAGAAGCAAAGCAACAGCTCCACCGGCGGCGGCGCCAAGAAGGGCTCCCTGTTCGACGCCCCGGACGGCGCCGGGGGGAAGCGCGACGAGAGGAGGGAGCGGGTGCGGATGAGGAGGGAGGAGCAGGTGAGGACGGCCAAGATGGACATGCTCGGGGTGAATGCCGGCGTGGCGGACGGCGGCGTCCTGGGGTCGTCGTCGGCGAGGAAGCAGGCTCAGATCAGGACGGCCAAGGAGATTTTAGGGCTGGGTCGGGGTAGCCGCGCCGGCGAGATGCTCGACGAGAAGAGGACGCCGGGAAAAGGCGGACAGGGCGCTAGCCCCTTCCCCGGCCGTCAAGCATTCCTCGACAAGGTCAGGAAGCTCAAAGGTGACGAATGATAGCTAGCTAGGATTTCCGAGGGGAGTAGGATGAAGAGTTCAGTTGTACATGTAGTCGAATCTTTGATTTGCTGAAGCATTCCTCAAAGCATTATGCAGTCTGTTTACAATCCTGCACTTGAGATTGTGCCAGAAGTCAAAATGTATCAGTCAAGAGCTACGTTTGATTAACAGATCGCTGAAACACTTGTTTCAAGCAGACACTTCTGTACAACTACAGCAGAAAATTTATCATCTATGACATGAAGAGGATTGTATCTCATTAGTAGGAATTTATTTCAGCACATTTCATCTATGTCAGTTGTTAGGACATTCAACAAAAACATCTACGATTACATACATGAGACAAAGAAACAAAACAAAAGGCAATTGAGCCAAAAAGAGAAAAGCAACTGCAATTACACGAGAAAATCGTGACTGTACAAGCACACTATTCCATTGCATCAGAACTTCACAAGCATGCTGTGATTACAGTGTGCATCAAGCACCAACATTGCATTGGAGTAACTATCGTGCATGCCCTTCAGTGTTCAGTGGCTTCTCTTCAGCGCTGCAAGAAAACCTGACTTTGTTTTGTGGCGACCCTCAGGGTCAGTTCTCACCTGTTTCAAAGTTAAGACATCACAATGCTCAGTTCTGGAGAGTAATATTATGCAGCAAAAACATTGACGACTTGGTTTTCGCGTTGTAGAATAAAATCATGATAATTTTGTTTAGACGTGTGATTGATAAACTAGAAGTGAGAACCGGAAATGCAGGACTGACCTCTTTGGAGAGTTTCTGAAGGATTTCCAGTATCTCGGAGAAGTCAGGCCTTTCAGCTGGATCTCGATGCCAACATTTCTGAAGCAGCTCGATAAGCTTGGGATGGGTGTCTTTTGGGATCATTGGCCTAATACCCTGCAGAGGAACGTGTGTGGATGAATCAAGTTGTTCATAATGGGTCTGAGCGTCCATGTACAATTCTTCTGACCCCCTAGGGCGCCGCTAAGGAGTGTTGTATTAAATTTTTTCTCTATCTTAATACAAAGGCGGGCAAACCTTTTGCGTGATCGAGAAAAAATGTGAGTCTCAAAATGAGAAGATAATATGGCCTTACCCAAAAAAATTACTAGAAACTGTAAAAATCTCTACAAAAAGCTCTGAAACAAAATATTTCAATATTTCTTTTAACAAAAAAGAAAAGAAAGGAGGAACTAGCTTGTCACGGCTACCTGTTTCACTTGAAATCAACAATTAAGAGTATGTTTTGTACACAGTTTTTTTATGTGGCAGTAATGCAATTCCCGTTGCTTTAAATATGTGCTTTAGTGATAAAGTTTTCTACTTTTCTTATTTCCATCAGAACTTGTAGCATACAGAATGAACCTGTTCCTCTAATCTCATCTATATATATATATAATCTTTTAATAAACAAATGCATAGCCAAGGATGATGGTCCAGTATTTAAATGGCTCTTCCTGAAAGAGCAACGCCTGGCATCACTTCTAAAAGACAGTTTCCTAACAGAATTGCACTGCTCCCTGTTCCCAAGTGTCTGCACATGCAGTTACCTAAAATAAGAACTGAATAAAATACTACAGCATCACCTAGATGTATGTATCTATCGAATATACTCCATTAGGTCATATCCTTAGGGCTGCTAATAACGTAACTACGGAAGCCAAATGCACTTACCTTCTGAACAACACCTATTGCTGCTTGCAGTGGTGTTAAGTACTCGTAAGGGATCTGAGGAATCAAAAAGTTTGAAAATGAATAGACTCTTATGAGTAATTTATATACAAACTAAAAATAGAAAACAGAAACTGTGCATAATCATGTAGAAGAATGCAACTGCAGTTACCTTGCCGGTTAGCAGTTCCCACAGAACAATAGCAAAGCTAAAAACATCTGCTTTGTGATCGTAGGGCTTATGTTCTATGACCTGAAATTTCAATAATAGCATCATTATCATTATTTAAGAAACGGACAAATATGCATTGTTTTTTTCTTCTGAAATACATATTCATGACAGTGCACCTCAGGTGCCATCCAACGGTAAGTTCCAGTTTCTGCAGTCATCACTCCAGATTGGTCTTTCACACGTGCAACACCAAAGTCTGCAACCTTTACAACCTGCAAAATATGACCTATTACTTTTTGAGATCTATCAATCATCAGTCACAACAAAGATAGCTTTGCACATTCTAAATCAAACAAACAATATGATTCTGTTGTGAGTTGGTGAGTTAGTCATCTAGACTGTCATGCTCAAGTTTTTCGCTGGTTTCCCTTTAATTAACTGTGTAGTTGCATGGTTTGGTGCCCAGTTTCACTCGTAAGCTGGGTTAAGTCTTTCCTCTAGTGAAGTCCAGGAACTCCATGCCCTTTTACGAAGTTTTTTCTTAAAAAAAACATGATTTAGGGCTTTGGAAAAAAAAACTGACCCTGTTTTCATCCATGAGAAGGTTTGCAGTCTTGAGATCACGGTGAATTATGTTGTTTTGGTGCAGGTAGTTCATTCCTTTAGAGATGTCGGTTGCCACTTTCAGTATTTCAGGAAGCTTGAAAGTATTATTATTTTTGTGGAGGTAATCGTAGACACTCCCTCCTGACATGAAATCTGAGACAAGGAAATGCAAAAATGGGGTAAGGGGATCAAACACCATAGAAATTTTTTGGCATGCCTACTGCAGAGATGAATCTCATTATTATAGTATACCTGTTACTATATACAACGTTGGTTGTCTTGTACAGGCACCAATAAATTGCACGACATTCCTGTGACGGACCTTTCTGCAAGCATGTATAAATCTTGCATGATTAACAATGTTGAGAGGCATTTATGAACTATTATTAAAACCTACACTAGGGATTTGACATCTTCAACATTACTGAAATTAATTGTAGCTGCGAGATGCAACTGTCTTTGGAAAGAAGATCATGTCAGTAAAAAATTTCAAACGAACCTCATGATGTACACTTCTTGCGCAAAATCTCGGTACATATCTGCACTGATGCGCTCAGGTCTCACTATTTTGATGGCCACGTCCTGATTGCAGTATGTTCCACGGTACCTAAGCAAGCCCAAGTATCAAATGAAGCTCTGAATAGGTTCCCATTTCCACGTTATTGAGTAAGGAAAACTTAAACTTACAGGTCGCCATTTGATCCGGAAGCAACTTTGCTTCCAAACTTGAGCAGTTTAAGGTCAATTTCCCAAACATCTGCACCATCTGTTGGAATTTCAACACTTGTAGATGGTATACCTTGTCCACCTTGAGGGCCTTCTGATGATGGTGATGATGAGCTTGATACAGGCCAAGCTCGTGTCTGTAGAAAGCTAACTTACCACAGTTAAACAATTGCTCATAATTTCAGAACAAATGACTATAGAAGCACTGTGTCCATATATGAAACGTTCAAAGTAACACTTTTCATGGTATCCATCAAGGTTTGCACTTTGCCAATCACAAGATCTTTTGTATTCATTTGTTTCAGATAGAATTGAAGTTTTTTATCTGCTTCAACAAACTAACTTCTCAAGAAATGCAGAGAGAACAATTTAAGTAATACCATGAGAGCAAAAGTTAGGTTGCTTTTTATGGAGTTAACAGCTTCACAAAAGAAAGGGAAGAAGGAAGCTTATACCTCAGCATTGTGAAATTTCTGAAGCAACTTTCCTTGTAGCTGCTCAGTACTCTAGAAGTTGCAGCAAAATAAAAATATTAATATAGTAGCACAAATTATTACACGTTGCTGAACTAAAAGAAGCCTTAATTGCAAATAACCAATTTCATCGATATAATGGAAGCAGAGAGAAACATGTACCTCAAGATGCCATCCAGTGACAACAAATACATCCAATGAGTAGCCATCAATTGTTGAAAATGCATGTGCTTCTTGGATGTCAAGACCGAACTCAGCAAGCAAACAGGTCAGCTGTAAAAATGTATAGATATAGATGATAGAGTGTCAGGTGGCAAGTAGTTGCCAGTTCAGAACAGAAGTTTACTCTGGAAATGGCCTTAATGTTTTTTGTTAGTTTCTTCCTACTATTACCAAGTTCCTTGTTAAAACTATTTTTTCATTCATTATATGTATATTACATGCTGGCTTCTTATAATTTACTGAATTTAGCTAGCTCTATCAACAGTACGCCAGGGCTAATTCTGTGAGTAGCCGTGTCAGAGAATTTTGACACTCCAAGGAAAAAGAAGTGTGACTACCTGACTAAGGAGCTTTGGCTTATCAATAGTTGCAAAAGTTATCTCATGCATCGGCCTGCAAGATTCAGAACAGAGAGAACAATGAGTTAACAGAGAATATAACTGCTCAAATTGTTTGCATATCAACAGGCTCTATATGTCCCTAAATATTGTCAGCTTAAGTTTTATGTACTCAGTAAAAGTGAAGGCCTTTCGTTTCAAAAAAAAAAAAAAGTGAAGGCCTCCACGTATGATAATCTACCAGTTTCATGCAATGTCATCAAACCAGAATGAGACAAAAAGCTTAAAGATGCTAGCTAAGGCAAGTATCGGCCTTTTTGGAGATGCTTCCACCCCTAACTAGGATCCATATATATATCAAACTTAAGAAAGCGTGGATTTTCTTGTATTCAAGGAAAATAGTACATATCCACATATTAAGATCAGTGTTTTTAAAGAAAAGGCACGTCAAGACATATATGGAGCCGATTCGCAGCAAAGCATTAGAGATTACTGTCTACTGCACTCATTTTTTAAAAGAAAAAATGCATTCTTCGAAAGGTAAATACTACCACAATTTAGCCATGTTAGCCATTTGTAAAACTGCAACTCCGAAATATCATAAACAGTCTATTGGGGGTCCAGAAAGGTGATTTTATTCATCTTTAACCTGTCTATAATATACATCCTGAAATGCTAAACAAATAAGGAAAGAAAAAACCTAAAATCCAGCATCCCATAGGAAATTGTTTACCTGGAAATGAGATGTACACTGTGATCAATATCATTGGTGCTCCTTACATCACCTTCATTTGTTTCGAGCCCGAGCGCCTCTAGATTGGAGGAAGAACCAAATGCAGGGGGTGGGTGAGCCCTGAAAAACGTTGTGCACGACGTTATAACATACAAAAGAAACCAAGAAGATCTATAGGCGCATGAAAGAAAGAAACTTTATCCAGATCTATATATGATGATACGTACATCTGGCTAGCCACATGATTATTAGAAGCAACCGTCTCCATGTCAGGATCACAAGAATCGGCCGTATCACCATCAATAATCCTAGAAACCTGATGAGCAAGCATGGAAATAACAATTTTGCTTCAGAAATCATGGACGATCACATATCACCTTTAATTAATCTATCCTATCCAAGAAATGAGTTTAACGACCAAAAAGAAACGATCAATGCTCTCTTGTAACCTCCAAACTTTATTTAGCGCCATCGAACAGGTTAAAGAATTAATGTACAAATTGCTGAACCAAAAACATCAACACAAAGGTGCATCACATCTTTACAAGCTCTACATACACTCATTGGTAGGATTGAACATGTCGAAAAGGTGTGTGAACTCCTGGAACAAAAGGATAATAACATAATAAAAAGTGCATCTTTAGGGCACTCCCAATACAAGAAACTATTAGCAGTTTCTATAGCATAGGACATCGTACCAAGAAACTATCATTCATAATGCAAGATTTTCTACACTACAGGATATAAGTAGTTATAGAAACCATGTTTGTTCTCCCAATGGGCTACGAGTAGTTTCTTGTCCATCGATAACCGTGAAGACCCAGTTTCTTAGTTAGACCTGGTTTCTTGGATTTATCCTTTCTCTCCTCATTAAAACACTTGCCACGTTAGCAAATTGCCTACGTGGCAGTGCAATTAATATCTATATAAACTACCGTAGTTTCTACATTGTGAGTGCCCTTACGATCTTAAGCTTTGGTATTATGAACAGGTTACTTGGTACTTGGTCAGGAAACGATGCACAGATTTCTGAAGGAAGCGCAAATCAAGATTGACGCGTGTGCGACATGCAAGCATGTGATTACAGTGGATCCATTTCGATCCAATGGGTGACGGATGGATTTCTGACCTGCACGACGCGCACGGACAAGGCGGGCCGGCGTTCCGGATCGCGCGCCTCCTCGAGCAGCCGCTGGTGGGTGACCACGTCGTCCGCCCTCTCCGCGTTCACATCCAGCGCGTACCTGCGCAAGCGATCGAACGCATGCGTGTCAGGCCCTCAGCCGATCGGAACAACGCAACGCAGCGGGCCTTCCAGATCACGGGAAATCTCGATCGATCCCCAAAGCGATGCGAAGCGAGCGGCTCACCGGGCGGGGAGGCGGTGGAAGTGGGCCCAAAGCGCATCCTCGAAGGCCGGGGAGACCGCGGCGGCGGAGGAGGAGCGCAGGCGGGCGAGCACCTCGTTGTACACCTCGAGGCGGCGGCCGTGCTTGTCCGTCCGGCGCCCGCCCGCGCCGGCCTCGGACTGCCGCCGCTGCGGCGCCGGCCGCGGGGGACTATCCACGGCCATGGATCTACCGAAGAACGACTAGCTGCGGGCGCGCGGCGAGTCGATCGAAAAGCGACGCGGCGTGCACGGAGGAGGACACGAGACGGCCGTGCTGCGCCTACTGCTCTTGCATGGGAGGTGGTGGCGCGCACGTGAAGAGGCGGCGACAAAGGCTAGAGCTTTATAGCGACGGGACGGAGAGGAGAGGCAGCGAGTAGTGAGTCGGAGACGGTCGCCTTGGCTAATTCGGAGAAGAACACTACTCGTGTAATAGTAAACCTTAACCTTTGGATCATCAGTAAATAAAGGAAAAAATAATTAGTGAGATCCAATCCAAGGTTGGGGAGGAGTGAAGGAAATCAGAGTAGAATTCAGAAAGAAGGAAATCAGAGTAGATTTTCGGAAAGAAATTACTGACTGTTAATTTGTATTCGTTCTACGCTTCATCACTATATATATTATTTAAATTTGCAGTGGTTGGTGTTTCCAAGAGGGCATATATTTTATAGAAATCTGGAAATCAATGAAATAAATTTTGGAGATAAGGCTGAATGAGGTGGCTATCTCACCTTGCTTTGGTAGGATTTGGATTTGGATGCCCAGGACGATATATTAAGAAAGTAAAATAATCCGGGCCGGAAACCAAGTCAAATGTGATGTGGAGAACTGAAGAAGTTGCTCTGCATGGATGTACGACAAGCCATTCTTTGTTTGCAAACTGCAAGGGAACAACAGGTCAACACTCCATGGCACATGTATATTTGCTAGTATCGTATTCGTTTAATTGTTTGTGTGGCTTATAAATTAGCTGATGCTATTTTGTTGTGAAAGAAAAATATTATATATTAATAATCATGGCTGATACGATCGAGGGGGCGAACACTTCTAGCAAACCAGCAGGTACGCGTGCATGTAAAAGGAAAGTTCAAGAGCTGGTGGATGGTGGTTCATCCCTCCCAGTAGTGGTTCATCCGGATGAGAGAGTAGTGGAGGTTCATCCCTCCTGGACACCCAGCGAGCTGACCAGGTAGGCACCCAACTTGGGGTGGTAGCAGTAGGATTATGTTTTAAAATTAGGTTCTGTTCGTTTGTTTTATAATATGTATTTTTTAGTTTATTTATTTAGTTAGAATAATATTTTTCTCTCACGGTAAATCAGTCGAAACAGTGCAGTTTGTTTTTTCAGCGAAGCGAACGGGGCCTTAGTATCAAACACAGCATGATAGCACAGATAAATCCTAAGGATATTGTTGAATATTTGGGCAATAATGGTTTGTTAACTCCACAGATGTTTTGGATCTTGAGCTAGCTAGCTAGCATCTGTATATGAGTCAATGCCAGACCAATTTAATTAATTTGACAAACTGACAAGCTAAACACCTATAAGTCACTAAAGCCAGTTTTAGTGGAGTTTTGTGTCTTGGTTTTCAAAACTTTCATGTGTTGAAAATAGTGTGGACCCATTTCATCCTATAAAACTTTGATTATCTCTCTCTTCGTTAATATCATACCGTACTAGTATATTTACTAAGTTGGTAACTTATTTAATATAAAACTAATGAAACTTCTAGTGAGACTGGGCTAAGCTCATCTTGTTTCATCAAGAAGGAACAAAAGCAAAGCAGTCATGCAAATAGATAAAAATATTCAACATGCCTAAAATGAAAAGGTATACAACTTTGTACCATATATATTAACCACTCGTGAAAAAGATCCATCTTGGGAATGAAGCAGGGATTTGCTCTATACTATATGTCAGATAGATTTTAGGAGGAAAATTTTGTGTAGGTCTTCTCCTACAAGCACCACATGAACTCCAGCGAAGTTAGGGTTTCCGGTTTGTGGATAGGGGATTGGGGCTTGGATGTTTTTTGCCCTTCGGCAGCGATAGAGGGATGACTAGGAGGTTATTGGTCCGGCGATGATGGTGGAAGGTGGATCAGACTAGATGACTAGGTTGTGGGGCATTGTATGTCGTGGTGCTGTGTAGCTGGATGGAGCCAGCATCGGAGACGTCTGATTTAGCTGGATTGGAAAGGGAGACATTGCGAGGGTGGGAGCTCTACCACCGCGAGTCTGTGATTGAGGAGGGCGAGGGCGTCGTGATTGGGAGATTAGGTTGGTATCCGGGTGGGGAGACAAATTAAAGGAGGTGGGGGCGACGTGGTTGAGTGAACAATTGATGGAGGTGGAGAGCGGCAGTAGCACTGTCGTAATCCACATAAAGCATTCCATTACCCATCTTGCAACTCGCTTCAACACCCCTACAATTCAGCACGCGGCACACAAACAATAAAACTCTTCCAAGTATTGGACATAAGATATGTGTACCTAAAACAATATAAATTTGTGTGTTGTCCCTCTAATTTACTGTGGGTGATGCGCTAATTACTCTTCTGAGGGAAAGAACACTGACAAACGCAAATAGAAAAAACGCGAGAAGATAGTGAAGTAGGAAAAAGAAAAGGTATGGGCCACTCTAAGATTTATAAAGCCAGTCTCAGTAAGAAGTTTTATGGAATTGTTTGCAGGACTGTCATGTCATATAAAATAAAATGACACACGCACTTTCCCTGGAAACTTTCATTTTATGGTTTGCCGACATAACTGAACCAACAGGGATATACAAAATTTCCGTCCGTGAACTATTTTTTTGTCGGTATGATAATTTCTTTGTCGGTTAGGCGTTGACAGGGAAATTACCGGCCGCCGGGTCAAGACTTTTATCCCTGTTGCCCTGAAGTCGACAGAAAAATTGTTTTTATACCGACAGGGAAAGGATTTACTTTCCTGTCGTGGGCATTCAACACAGGAAAGTGTACAGGTGCAATAGGTTAAGCTTCTATACTAGTATATGCTTCTCGTTTTCTACTAATCAGTCCAGTGGGATGCAATGGAGTAAAATAAAATCATTAGATGACTTTGGCGCTCGCAGACACACTACCCCCTCCAAAAAAAAGGGAGGAAAAACTGGAGTAGTGGAGGATATGCTTATACCGATCCGCCGCATCACAGAACCATTCCATGTATACTAGATAGATATATGAATTAAGAATGTGATTAGTTAATTGGTCGGTTAATAAACTTTAATCTATTCGAGGATAAGCATCGCTACGCGCTCCCGCCTTGGACGGGTTAGAAATTAGAATATGCCTATGCTTTCAAACGGATCTCCGCGTCTCAAATGGTCAGTATTTAATTATTTGATTTTTTTAGCCGACACTGTACTTAGTGTAATTGAATTAGTCTATCGATGAGGTGTTTTCTCTTTTTTTTTTACAAATTATCGATGAGGTGTTGGGTGGGCACTCCATGGATCGTCAAGCATTAAGGGGCTTATTTGGCAGAGCTCTATGGGCCTGTATGGATACACCCAACTAAAGTTTAGCTAGTTAAAATTTCAAAGCTAAACTTTAGCCAGCTAAAAGTTATCACAGCTAAATTTTAGCTAGGGTGTTTAGATCCTCCAGCTAATAGACTCGGCTAAACTTTAGTTGGGTTAAAGTAGCTAAGCTAACTTTAAACTTTAGTTGGTATTTTAGGTAGGCCGTTTGGATCCCTGGCTGTTAACTTTAGCCAGCTAAAGTTTAGTCGGTGATCTAAACAGACCCATATTAAAATATGTAGATTCAAAAATTACTATATTTTAGACTTTAAGTACGGATGAGACTCAGAGAACACATTTAGATGAATCATTTTGATTATAGTTAATTGATATTAATATGTAAATGTTTAAATCATTTTATTTAGTGTAAAAGTACATATACAATCCGGATCTCGGATCTGAAGCTATACAGGATTAGAGCATTAGAGGAAAAAAAAGGTCAATACAAAGCTAACACCATTGTGCATTATGAGACATGCTCGCTCTAACCCCCAATATAAGTCATTTAAAACTAAATATCATGACATTTCAATTGGAAAGTGTCATATTATGTATCACAATTATGAATTATGAAACCAATGTTCTTAACGAACCTAGTGGAGTACACTAAAGTCATTCATGTACAATATGTTTCTTTATCCAGCAACCTGGTACAGACCTAAATAATGCATTTTGCTTTTATGACGAACAAAATCCTGTTCAAATTAGTTACTGTAGCATGCATGACATCATGCATGAGGAAAGCACGAAACGTAGGAGTGCTGCGAAAATGGTAAACAAAAAACTGCATGACACACTACCCCCTCCAAAAAAAGGGAGGAAAAACTGGAGTAGTGGAGGATATGCTTATACCGATCCGCCGCATCACAGAACCATTCCATGTATATCAGATAGATATATGAATTAAGAATGTGATTAGTTAATTGGTCGGTTAATAAACTTTAATCTATTCGAGGATAAGCATCGCTACGTGCGCCCGCCTTGGACGGGTTAGAAATTAGAATATGCCTATGCTTTCAAACGGATCTCCGCGTCTCAAATGGTCAGTATTTAATTATTTGATTTTTTAGCCGACACTGTACTTAGTGTAATTGAATTAGTCTATCGATGAGGTGTTTTTTTTACAAACTATCGATGAGGTGTTGGGTGGGCACTCCATGGACCGTCCAGCATTAGGGGGCTTATTATTTGGCAGAGCTCTATGAGCCCGTTTAGATCACTACAGCAGACGTGTGCTTTACCGAGTGCAATTGCACTCGACAAAGAAGGCTTTGCACTCGGCAAAGAGCTATCGGCATATCTCTTCACGGTAAAAGCTTCTTTGCCGAGTGCTACACGTGGGGCACTCGACAAAGGATTTCCTGAGTGCCACGACGGCACTCGCCAAAGAAAAGCCGCCATGACGGCCAGGTCATGGTGACGGCCCCTTTACCGAGTGCCACGTATCGGCACTCGGCAAAGAAATATGTTTTTTTATTGTTTTAAAAAAAATGCTTTGCCGAGTGCCTGCATCTGGCACTCGGCAAAGCTTGTTTCTTTTTTTTTGGATTTTCTTTGCCGAGTGTTGTAGGTAGGCACTCGGCAAAGCAGTTTTTTTTGAATTTTCTTTGGCGAGTGTCTTGAGCATATATTTTCG